GCGCGCTGGTCCAGGACCCCTTGGGCCGTGGGGCTGCATCAAAAAGATCTAATGCGATCCACCGTTTTCTTTTTTTTTTTTAAATGTTTGTGGGAATTGGTTGTTTAGGAGAGGGAAAAACTGTCCTTGTATCTAGTTGTCCTGGTGTGCAGTGCCCTATAGATATACAATATATATATATAGATATAGATATACAAAAAAAGTATTTCCGGATCATAGCTTAGCCTATTCAAAACGTTAAATAAATAACCCACAAACATTTTTAAAAAAAAAAGAAAACGGTGGATCGCATTAGATCTTTTTGCTGCAGCCCCACGGCCCAAGGCTTCCTGGACCAGCGCCCTGAAGCAGAAGCTCCGCCCCCCCGTTCCATTGGCTCGCTCGAGGAGGAAAAGCGCGATGTGTTGACGTCACGGTTTCGCGAGAGAGAGCAAGCGGCCAATGGGACGTACCCGCTCGCGGGTTCCCGATCGGGCGGCAGCATGTGCAGGAAGCGGAAAGGGGGCGGGGCCCCGCTGAGAGTCACGTGACGCGTCCCCGCCGATGTGGTCAGCGACTGGGAGCGGAGTCACGTGACCCGTTGCCTACGCGCAGTGGGGCCGGGTGCAGATGGCGGACGCCGAGGCTGACGCGGCCCTGCCGCCGGAGATGCAGCGGCTGGCCGCTAGCCTCCGCTCCCGGCTGTGGCAGTTGCAGGCGGAGTTGCCTGAGCAGGGGGCGGCGGAGGCGGCCTCTTCCAGCGCCTATTGCCGAGGGTTCTGTCAGGTAAGCGGGCGGGACACACACAAACACACACACACGACGGGGACCTTCCCGGGGCGGGCCTTGAGGGGGGTGGGAGGGGGAGGACGAGAACGAGAGAACCGGACCGGACCTGGGTACCCCTCGACCCCGGGAACGGCGGGGGGCTGTGCGGCAAGCGAAAGTGGCAGCCCGCTGTTGCCTGGCGCGGGAAGGCGGGGCTGGAGAGATCGCCCACCGACGCTTCCCTTGGTCGTTGCCGTCCGCAGGTTGGGCTGCGAATCCCCCTCCCCGCCCCCTCCTCTTGGGGGGGCTCCCTTCGAGTCCTCCCACCCCTCCCCCCTCGCTTTCCCAACGGCTCCAGGACTGGCTTTCGGCGGGGTCCATCCCGGATCCGCCTCCTTTCCTCGCGGAGGCGGGAGCCACCCTAATTTCTGGAAGAAGGGGTACAATTATATTGGGTGAAATCCAGCTCTCCCCCACCCACTCCGGAGGGGTCTCCCTTTCTTCCCACTCACCCCAGNTTGGAGATAATAGCCTTGGAATTCTAGCTGATATCTCAAAAGAAGGCGTATGGAAGAATCCAGTTCTTTTAAAGATCCTTTCACAGCAGTCAGTGGAAGCAGAAGAAAGTAAGTTGTTCAGCTGCGCTTTGGAGCATTCATGTGACTTTGCTGCCTCTCCAGTGTAAACCCAATCTCTCTTTTCACAATGGATTTTATTTTGCCCCCGAGGAGCCGAGCAAGAAGATAGGTGCCGAAAAACTTCTGTGTGTAATAAGCACAGTGGTTCTCGATCTTTTCTTCATCATAGACCCCTTTTGTGGCCATGGCCCCCCAAGAGTTAAGTCGAGATTTAAATCACAACACTTCTTCAAGCCTTCGCAGATCCCCTGCGATGACATTGTGGGGCCCTCCAAGGGCCTGCGGACCACAGATGGAGAACTTCTGTCCTAAGAAACTTGAATTAATAATTGAGCTGTCATTTTAAGTCTCTCAACTTACACTTAGTTCACCATTTTTATTTAGATTGGCACCTTCTTCTATTGTTGTAAAAGAATCCCCCTTGGTGATCTTTTTTACCTTTCCAAAGCATTTTTATAACAGTCTGCAAACATCTCAAATATTAGTGCTTGAGCAACTACAATAATCAGATCATGTTTCTTTTATGGTTGTTGCAAATTAGCCACCCCCCTTTATTTATTTACTTTTCAAATCTATTGTTAAAATAAGTTATAGTGAAAACAGATAAGCCACATTGTCTTACATTGTGGTGGCAGGGATGGAGGGAATTCCTGTAAGGTCCTTGCCTTAGACCAGGTATCGGCAACCCGCAGATCCAGAGCCACATGTGGCTCTTTGACCCCTCTCCTGCGGCTTCCTGCCGACCCAGTCCTGCAATTGAGAGAGAGAGAGGAGAGAGAAACGAGAGAGAGGAGGAGGGAGAGAATGAGAGAGAGGGAAAAGAGAGGGAAACAAATGAGAGAGAAAAGGGGGAGAGAAAGGAAAAAGATAAAAAAGAAAGGAAGAAAGAAGAGAGGGAGGGAGGGAAAAAGAGAGAAAAACAGAAGAGAGAGAGAGAGAGAGAGAGATCCATTTCCCACAGAAAACACTGGAGCCACAAAACCTGGATAGGCATGGTGGTCATGTGACTGGGTGGGAGTGACATTGAGTTGGCCACATCCACCCAGGTTTTGTGGCTCCAGGTGTTTTGTTTTCTGTGGGAAAATGGTCCAAATGGCTTTTTGAGTGTTTAAGGTTGCAGACCCCTGCCTTAGACAATGACTAAATGCCATGGGGTAGTTTCTTTTGCAACTCCCCCCCCCCCAAAAAAAAATCACTTGCAGAGATGATCCACCATTCTGCCCCAATGTAGGGCTAGTCTAGATATGGGAATTTCGACTTTTCAGGAAAGAACAGAGGAATGGGGAAGTCACCTAGGGAGACTATTGTGGCCCCTGTGCGATAATCATACCTTTGTTCATTGCAAAGCCATGGGCCTTGGGTGGCATTATGGTCTATTCTGTTGGCTCAAATATTGCTCAAAGTTGAAAGACAGGATGGCAGTCTTCCAAATCACAAGATGTATGAGCAAGCTTGTAGAAGAGACTTGGTGGATCATACAGTCTCGCTCCAGAGCCACAAATATTTGAGATGTATTTGTCTAGTTGCAGCAAAATAAGGGCATGCTGCGAATCATTTTTCTAGTGAATTTCATAATAAACTGAAAGTAATGTGGGGGACTTTCAGGAATTCTTAGAGAGAAGTCGCTTTCCCTTGAACTTGTAAGCCTTCATAATAAACTAGTACTTAATAACATTTTATCACCTTTTTTCTAGTGAATCAATTGATTAAACGCGAAGGGCTGGCATTTCTGCAAATGAGAGTAAAACATTTGATGAAGACAAATCGCCTTCCTCAAGCCGCTTCCTTGTCCAAATTGTGTAAAGAGTCTACAGAAATTCCAGATGTTTCTCCTTTTCTTCAGTCCTATATCACATGCTTGTGCTCCATGCTTCCAAATGAAGAGTCCATCAAAGAGGTAAATGGCCAAACACTATAGCTTATTACTCTTAAAGACAACTGATATTAATTTTAGTATCTGAACTAACGTGATCAAATTTGGAAAGGATGGGAGGGTTGGCTCCAATCTCAGCAGGGGCTCTTTCTACTCTGCAGAAGCGGGTGAGGGGAGACACTCCTAACACCACTCGGGTTGTGTGTTCTGTTAAGAGCCTGTTGTGCCTTAAAATGACTTCTATTGTACTGTCTTAAAATGGCTTCTACTGTACAGCGCTGTGGAATTGCCATGGTTTCACTGTACTCCACAACGGAGCTCCCTCTGGTAAGGGGGGAAATCCAACATTAGAAATTACGGCAACATTCGTGGAAGGAGGGTTGGGATAAATAAATACCTGGGCAGCACCAAGTTATCAGCTAGTCAGAAATAAAATAAAATGTGTCTTCTTGTTTGGCATCAGAAGCTTCCAACTTTTGCAATGTTTAAGCGAATGCATGTAGGAATCCACATTAAATTATTCTTATTGTGATTATCCATCATGGACTTTAAACAGGTTACCATATGATCTCTCAGTATTAAAACAGAACGCAGAGGTTCTCCTGGATTTGTGTGTGTTATTTTGTTTAGCAAGAAAAGAGGTTTTGTCTTAAAACTACTTATCATGTCATTTCCCCCCCTCTTGTTTCAAAAAGATTTCAAAAGTGGACTGCAAAGAGGTCCTAGATATGATATGCAATTTGGAAGCTGAAGGCCAAGACAGCACTGCTTTTATTCTCTGTACAACGTATTTCACTCAGCAGCTTCAAACAGCAAGCGTATACTGCTCTTGGTAAGTGTCCTGTCCAAGAATTGGCTTTCAGAATTTCCCATCCTGACCAAAACAGCTTCTAAAAGTTTCTAATTCAGCAGCTGACAAAAATACACTATGGTGCATCCTGGTCTGTTGATGAGAAGCATTAAAATTAAAAAAAAGAAATCAAGTATTTTAAAATATTAAAGTCTGTTATATTTGCTGCTATATTTCAATAAGTAATAATGTGTTGATAACAAAAGCCATGTCTTACACACATGGTAAAATTAGCTGTATGCAACAGGTGTGCGGGTCCTTTTCTTACAACTTACTCCACCTACATCATTAACATTCAGGAACAATTTTCCAGGTTGTGTTAAGTATAAATAAGAAGTGGATGAAGTGTGTTCAATCCTTGATAGCTGTATCATTTCAGGTTTTTACATAGACACAAAGGAGACTATGTTTTGGGGTCCTTAAATGACATCTTTTTGTGCACTCTTAATCCTTGGATATTCAGTTTGTTCTAAAATAATCTGTGGGTCCCATTAAAAGAAGATGAAATGGACTCAATGATAAAATTGACTTAGATGTTCCCCTAGATCAGTGGATCTCAACCTTCCTAATTCCGTGACTCTTTAATACAGTTCCTCATGTTGTGGTGACCTCCAACCATAAAATTATTTTTATGTTTGCCGTATTTTTTCAAAAATATGTGTTTTCCGATGGTCTGTGAAAGGGTCGTTCAACCCCCAAAGGGGTCCCGACCCACAGGTTGAGAACTACTTCCCTAGATCCTATTTTCCAGGTTTGGCACTACATAAATGCGTTGGGTTATATTTTCTCATCATGTTTTGGCTGGGGTTGATTGGCAATTGTGGAAGTTGTGTGAATTATCTTACATTCCCTCTAATTCCTTGATTTTTTTTCCCCCCAACTTCTGCAGGGAACTAACTCTGTTTTGGAGCAAATTACAAAGAAGGATCGACCCATCCTTAGATTCCTTTCTGGAGCGATGTCGGCAATTTGGCATCCTTGCTAGAACATTGCAACACTTGTTCTTCCTTATAAGAGTCATACAAGCTGAAGTACGTATCCATTTGCAGTTTACTAACATCTGCTGCTTGATTTTGTGGAGAGTGAATATGTATCACATAATGAAGACTGTAGATAGAAATTATTAGAAAATACATGTTGGAGGTGCGTTCTTGCCTTGACTTCAGAAAGCAGGGTGATTGATTGTACTTTGGTATGGATAGATTCCATAAACTGAAGATTCCACTGACAGTTTGTCACATATAAGATTACATATATTTTTCTCCACTTTAAATTATAGCCTGCTGCCTTCTGGCTTGCCCAGCTTTCATTTCTATTCTCATTCAATCTGTGACTTTAAAAGTTTTCTTTACTTTTGCTAGCTGAGGTCCCCTCTGTTCGGGCTGCTTTTCAGAGAATTCTTGCAGGGTGGAATTTCCTATCTTTCAAGGCCTCTTTATCCTAGTCTGCAAACTACATGGTGGAGCATAATAAATGTAAAGCCCAGTTCCTTCAGTCTTCTGCTCTGTTTATGTTGCTCTTCTGCTGATTTTTCACAGTGTTTCTGTTTGAAAAGATAAGAGAAATAATTCAACAGTGTAAGAGCCTGGAGCTGAAACTGGAAGTGATAAGGAGTTGCACAGAAATTGAGAGATTCTTCTTGTTTTGCATCAGAAGAGAATATAGAAATAGATGTCTAACATCTCTGGCCAACCATAGCTGAGTCCTCTACAAATTTAAGTGCCCACTTCCTAAGTATACTTAATCCCTAAGAAAGCTAAAATCCATATATTATTAATAATTCAATAATTAATAATTATTAAATACTTATTAAATAATTAATACTTATTAAATAATTAATAATTATTAAATAATTAATAAGTGATTTGACCTGCAGCTTTTCAAACCTCCCTTCATTCAGTTTGGGAGAACGTTCTTGTTTGTTTCAAAGGCAGCATAAATTTAGAACATCCCATTTTTCCTCTTAGGGTTGTTTGATTTACATTTCACTCGTGACCACCTCTCATTCCACAGCAGGTTTATTTATTTCTCATGGTACAGTAAGAATGGCTTTATTGTTGGATATTGAATGTTGCAGTTTGGGGGGAAAAAATAGAGATTAGCCTTCTCCAACTTGTTGTCCTCCAAAAGTATTAAGAGAAAATCCAGAGGAGAAACACGTCATTGATTTGTCTCTGTTTTTTTATTTTCTTCATTTTCCTAGGCAGAAGAAGCTGGCCTTGCTGTGTCCATCTTGCTGTGTGTGAGAGCTCTGCAGCTCCGGTCCAACGAAAATGACGATATGAAGAGCTCTGTTTGCAAAACAATTGCATGTTTGCTGCCAGAGGATCTTGAGGTCAGAAGGGCATGTCAGCTCACCGAATACTTACTGGAACCAAGTGAAGCTGGATACAGTCTACTAGAAGAACTGCATGTACAACCAGATCAGAAATTTGATGAAGAAAATGCACCAGTTCCAAATTCACTCCGCTGTGAGCTTCTGTTAGCTCTGAAGG